GTGCCCCTGGCTGGCCCTGCCCTTCTCCACCCGCCCCTCCGCTCCCCGACCAGTCAGTCTTTATCGCGCATGTGTGACATCACGCGCATGCCCGACATCGCTGACTGCATTCTCCGCCCCCCAGTCACTCCTTAAGATATTTCTTTTTTTTTCTCCTCCCGACAATCAGCTGTTCCGACGATCAGATGTGCCAGGATCCCCCTCGCTGTCTTACTGCTTCGCCCAGGAGGCCAAAAAAAAAGGAGCACAGGGGGGTGCTTCAAAAAAAATAGAAGAAACCATGCCCACCCAGTCACATGACCACACCCACCTGGCCATGCCCACAGAACCAGTTAAAAAAATTGAATCCCACCCCTGGAGGAGGCGATTCTTAATGGTTCCCAGTGGCTGCCCATTAGCTATTTAACAACTATGGATAATCCTCAACTTACAATGACCATTCAAAGTGATAATGGCATTGGAAAAAGTAACTTAAAGCCAGTCCTCTCACTTACAACCATCACGGCATCCGGATGGTCACATGATCAAAATTTGAGCACTTGGCAATCGACATGCCTTTATGACGGTTGCAGCTCCTAGAGTCACTATTTGTGACCATACCAGTTGGCTTCCAACAATAAAGTCTGTAGTGGAAGCCAGATTCATTTAATGACTGCATGATTCACTTAACAACTGCAATGATTTGCTTAAGAACTGTAGCAAAAAGATTGCATAATTGAGCACAACTCATTTAACAAATGCCTTGCATAGCAATGGAAATTCTGGTCCCAATTGTGGTCATAAGTTGAGGACTACCTGATTAAATTAATTAGCATCTTTTAATTTTCCTCATGGAGCCCACCCTAAAATGGACACAGCAGCAAAAAAGGCACTCTCAAATCCCAAACTATTATCAGGTTAATAGACTGCTTCCTCCATTTTTTCATTCCATAAATTCCAGTTCCAATCTAGTTTATCTTCAATTAGAAGAACTCCTGACTGTTTCATGTGTCTTTATTTCTTACCTATGAAACAGGAAGTGCTTCTGCTGTTCTCTGACTAACTTCATACATCACAAAATGTACTTATTTTTTGTTAAATGTGCTAAACGTATGAAGCAAATTATGATTTTTAATTGAGGCACTGTAATTACAATGCCACTTGGGGTACAACTCCCATCATCTCACCTTGCAAGCTAGCACTGAATGGATTTTAAGGGACGGCTACAACCGCGTATTATTTTACACGTCTTGCTCTCTTATGCAAACATTCATTTTAATTTGTCAAGTATAGAGTTATATTTTAGTTTAATACCTCATTTGCTTTCTAGTCAAATTATGCGCTCTCCTTTTTGCATTCTTTAAAAAGCTGAAATCTTTAAGATGAGTTCAGTCAGCATGTTTCTGTATTTCCATCTATATGTCCATCTTTACTGATTACAAATGGATGAAGAAAATAACAGCTATACTTCACTGTACAAGCTAAACCACCTAATATTTAATTTTGTCAAAAAGGTCAAAATTTTGGTTTTTGCCAAAATAGCAAAACAGGATCATAAATAGATTTTGGGGACTCTGTTGTAACTTTGAACAGTATTGTGTAACCTTTTTGTCGTGTGCCAAAAGTGTGTGTGTGTGTGTGTGTGTGTGTATGTGTGTGTGCGTGCACTCATAATGAACCTCGGTGGCACAGTGGTTAGAGTGTGGTACTGCAAGCAACTCCTACTGCAATTTGGCAGATCGAATCCCACCAGGCTCAAGGTTGATTCAGCCTTCCATCCTTCCAAGGTGGGAAAAATCAGGACCCAAATTGTGGGGGCTGTAAACTGCTGTAAACTGCTGACTCTGTAAACTGCTTAGAGAGGGCTGTAGACCACGGCTGTAGAGCATTGCTATAATACAATGTGCATGCAACCCTCCGCCCTACTGCACATGTGTGTGCAACCCCCATACTCCCCCTGCGTGCCCCATGCCTCTGCACATGTGTGCGCCTGCTGCATCCTCGCCTCTGCGCATGTGGGTGCATCTCCGGCGTGCCCCATGCCCCAGCGCAGCAGATACCCGACAATCAGCTGGCTGGCAGGAGGCATGCACGCATACGCAGTGGACCTGATCTGGGGCGATGGCTTGCGTGCTGGTAGAAATGGCTCTGCATGCCACTTCCAGCATGCGTGCCATTGATTCGCCATCACGGAGTTATAAGTTGAGGGCTACCTGAACTTTGGGCCGATTGATGGCCAAATAAAAGTTACTTGACTTTGCCATTGTCTTTTGAAATAATTTTTCAACTTCTGATCCAGCCCACAACTTTGATATTGCATAATCTTATACCCTGCCACCTTTTTTTCTTTTTTAGGAAATCAAGCAAATCCAAGTTTTATATTAGTTGTTCCCAATAAAAGACGGTCCGTATTTAATGTGTAATCTAGAAAAGGATCCAAAATCTGCTGTGTATAAATACAGTTTGAAGTTACATCTTTCGTGTTATGTTCCAGACTGATATATTGTCCAGGTATGATTACAATTTCCCCTGATCATGTTGCTGTAATAGGGCAGTATGACTCCCGCCCCCGCGCCATAAGGTTAGCACTTGATGAAAGGGATGTATGAAATGAGTGGTGGATAAGATGCAGGTGTGTACTGCCCTATTAACTGGGTTTTTGATATATTGCAGAATATGCATCGTTGAATTTAATGAGACAATAATAAACAGTAACGTTCTTGGAACAGTATTGTACAAAACCCAACCATGTTTTCAATAAACCATGGTTAGCAAACCGCAGCTTAATGCAATGTACATGCCCAGCCACCCACCATTCTTATTTGTAAGCAAACTAAACATGTGCAATAAATATAACTCTGAACTTCTTGCTTCCTTCGGAAACTCTCAGAACTTTCAGCTATCCCAAAGGTGCTTTTTCAAGAGGCAACTGGACTTCCTTGTTTTTCTTCGAGGAAGTTTCATTTCTCAACCAAGAAGCTTCTTCAGCTCTGACAGAATAGTGGGGAATGGAAGGATTTACATCCCTTGCAGACAGCTGTTCATTTGCATCCTTTTAAAGAGTTGTTGAGGCCACTTGGAGGTTTATCTGTGTGGGGGGGTGTCACCTGAGTGGTGTGGAGCCTTCTTGGAGCTGTTGGAAAGGCCTGTGCTTTCTGCAGGATGTTAGGTCCAGTGTAGTGGCCTAGAGGTGGAGCTCTCACCTCACAATCAAGGAGGCTGTGAGTTCAATCCTAGGTAGAAGGTAATATTTGGAATAGACTCTCCTGCTGGAGCAAAGGGTTGGACTAGATGACCTCCAAGGTCCCCTCCAACTCTGTTATTCTATGTTCTGTGTCTTATTTATTTTTTTATTTATTTATTTGATTTGCCAATTGTTTACAAGATAATAAGTATAAGTGTATACATAGTTGTGAATACATGATATGGGTACATATAAGAAAAATAAAAGAATAAGAGAAACAATAGGACAGGGACGGTAGGCACGATGGTGCGCTTATGCACGCCCCCTACAGACCTCTTAGGAAAGGGGTGAGGTCAATAGTAGACAGTCTAAGGTTAAAGTTTTTGGGGTTTGGGGAAGAGACTACAGAGTCGGGTAGAGTATTCCAGACATTGACCACTCTATTGCTGAAATCGTATTTCCTGCAATCAAGTTTGGTGCGGTTTACTTTGAGTTTGTATCTATTGTGTGCTCTTGTGTTGTTATGGTTGAAGCTGAAGTATTCATTGACAGGTAGGACATTGCAATGTATGATTTTATATACCATGCTTACGTCAGACCGAAGACGGCGTAATTCAAGGTTTTCTAGTTCTAGAATTTCAAGTCTGGTGGCATAAGGTATTCTACAACGAGTAGAAGAGTGGAGAACTCTCCTTGTGAAATATTTCTGGACTTTCTCAATTGTGCTAATATCAGATACGTAATGAGGGTTCCAGACTGATGAACTGTATTCGAGTATTGGTCTAGCAAATGTTTTGTATGCTCTGGTTAGTAGTGTGATATTACCAGAGAAAAAGCTACGTAGGATTAGGTTAACAACTCTTAATGCCTTTTTGGCTATGTAGTTGCAGTGGGCTCTAGCACTTAGATCATTAGAGGTGAGTATTCCAAGGTCCTTTACAGAGCTTGGGTCATCAACAAGATCTTGACTATTCAGCTTGTATTTTATTTTCTGATTTTTTTTGCCAATATGTAAGACAGAGCATTTATTTGTTGAGATTTGAAGTTGCCATTTGTTTGACCATTCAGATACATAGTCACGATCTTTTTGTAGGGTAGCAGTATTGTCTGTGGTATTGAACAGCTTTACATCATCAGCGAAGAGAACGCAATTGCTCTTAATATGATCACAGAGATCATTTATGTAGACTGTGAAGAGAGTTGGTCCTAGAACACTGCCCTGGGGGACACCACTATTGACAGGTACTGGATTTGATAGGACGCTCCCGATTTTGACCATTTGTTGTCTGTTTGACAGGAATGCTTCTATCCAGTTATTCAGTTGTCCAGAGATACCATAGGATTTTATTTTTATTTTTATTTTTAGTCTTCTGCCTTGTGTCCAGTGTTTTGGACACAGGAGCAGGCGATTGGGGATGAGTGTGTATCGATTGCATCTCAAACTGAAGCGCAAATGGTTTCTGAACTTCCAGCTACTTTTCCTTTAGAAAACTGGAAATCCACCATTCTGCTTCGAAGACCAATCAGGGCCGGGATAGCCGAACACTCAAAGGATTTTTTCTTTTTAATTGCCAGGGGATCGCGACTGTCACCGAAGAATCTTCCCAAAGAGGGAAAAGTAACGGCAGAAACTCCCGACGCGATTCGGTTTCCTTGAAAGTGAAACTTTTGCTTCGGACAGTGTTTTCACTCCCCTCCGGTGAAGATTCGAGGCCGCCACTAAGCCGCAGCCCGCGTGCTCTCGCCGTTAGGCCGGGGGGGGGGGGGGGGGGGCGGGGCGGAGCCACGCCCCCGCCGCTCTCCTGAAGGCCGGTGATTCCGGTAGTGACGTAAGAGAGGAAGCGGATCTCCGAGCAGGAGCGGCGGCACCCCCACCCGCAGGGAAAGTCGTGGGAGCGGCGGCAGCAGCAGCAGCAGCGCCATGGTGGATTACAGCGTCTGGGATCACATCGAGGTGTCCGACGATGAAGACGAGACTCACCCCAATATCGACACCCCCAGTCTTTTCCGATGGCGGCACCAAGTAAGGGAACGGAGCCCCCCTCCCCGGCAGCCCCTTGCCGCGGGCGTGGCGTTGGGGAATAGGGAAACACTGGAGGAGAAGACCCTTAAGAGGTGGGGGCGGTTGGGGGGGGTCTTTTGAAGGGTTGGGTCGCGGGGGGATTTCGCTGCCTCCTCCTCCCAGACGACACGGGGCCTCCCTCTCGGCCTCCTCCTCCGCGGGGTTTGGGCTTTGGGCTAATGAAGGCGAGCGCTGCTCCCCAGCCTTCGCCTGCGAAATTTGCTCTTTGACTGGTTAGCCGAGCAAGGCCTTCCGTTGCTCCCAGAGGCGCCGCCCCTGCTTCGCTGCTCATTTTTTAGAGGCGCTCCTACGGAGGGAGCTTTCTCCACTTTCCTTTCAGCGCCCGCCTTTCCTTGGCCCAAGCTGTCCCCAACTCCCCCCCCCAAAAAAAAATCTCATATAGCCTTTAGCTTTCCTTTCAAAAGGGCTCAAGGTCCAAGAGGACCAAATACTAAACCACTTTTTTTCCCTCTTAAATTTTTTCCCTCTTAAATTTCCCGCGTTCCCTAAAAATCCCGTCAATTCGTGGCGACCCACCCCGCTCCCCGGCGAGATAGGCGGCAAATAACATTTAACAAATAAACACAATTTTAGATTTTCTGGGAGGAGGAGGATTGCCACCAATCCCTCAGCCAGTCTACTTTATTATATTGCCGTTATTAGTTCCTGCAGTAGCTGGCTATCGTTTCCAGTATATAAAGCACTAAATAATCATACTTCTGTTGCCCAATATTCTGCGTTGTGAGCTTTTTTGCACTGATCGTTACTTAGGTGAATGTTGTAGGTGTAGTTGCTGCAGTTTGGGCAATAGTCAGAAGTAAAATGAAGTCGCATGACCGCAGGACACTGCAAATGGCCATAAATGCAGCCATTTGCCAAGATCCCAAAGTGTAATCATGAGACCATGTGGGGGAGATGTCAGAATTTTAAATCCAAGTTGTAAGTACCCCCCCAAGGCAGGTTTGTTGGAACTTTGAATGGTTGCTGAATGACCAGTTATATATCAAGGACTATCTGTATATGCATGAAGCTGGTCTGAGTTACCTCTTTCTGTCTATTCTGAAAATGTAGAATAGGATTCCTATTTTTCCATATGAGAGGGACTGTATAGTACAGTGGTGGGCGCGCGATTGCATGCTTGCGCTTGCGTGCCGGCACCCAGAAGGCAATGCATGCCCCCCTATGCATGCGCACACAATCCCCACCCACCCCCACTGCCCCCTTACTGCACTGTGCCTCACAGCTGATTTTTGGCCTGTTTGAGATGTTTTTCGGCCTCCCAGAGACTTGAGGAAGGCTTCTGCAGGCTTTTCAGGTTGAAAACTAGGCTCGTTTTGTCACTTCTGGTATTTTTGGAAAAATAGGTTTGCCATCATGGGTATAGTACTTCAAAATGAAACTCAGTGTTCAGCAAGTGGCATGTAGTGGTACATTGGTACTCAATTGCTTTGAATCTCATTGAATTTGGTACTCAATGCACTTCGATATGAACATTTTGTTCCAGTATGTTGTTTGTTCGGTGCTCAACGCACAAGCTAGAATGTGACGACCTTGTGACCCGCTACATTATTCTTTATGAGAAAAATTGTTTCATACTTATTGTTCTTGGTATTCATTGCAGCTCCTGGAACCAATTAACGAGTTAATTGGTTAATCGAGGTACCACTGTATTTTCACACAAAACATTAAAAAACCCTTCTAAAAGATAGGCTGAAAAAATTTAAACAGCAAAATTTAAACAGTTTTCAGATCAACATGATCTCTAAAATGCTTATATCTAGCATAAATAGCATAAACTATTCATAGTCCATGAGCTAAGAGGAGATATAATCTGTTCTGATCTTGTATGTAAGGCTGTGGCTTAGCCTAAATTGTATTAGGGCATGGAAGATAAGAACCTGTATTAAAAATCTTGCAAAGATAAACTCTGTAAAAGCCAGTGCTTCTGCAAGGCTAAATCACAGAAAATTCTGATTAAAAGATGTTGCTTTTCGCATAGCAAATATTTTATTTCCTTTATCTAGAATGATTCCCACTTCCTGCTGTTGAATTTAATTTGACTAATAAGATGTAATATTGTTTCTCCTACCAGGGGTCTGCAACTTTAAGCGCTCAAAGAGCCATTCGGACCCGTTTCCCATGGAAAGAAAAACACTGGGAGCCACAAAACCTGGGTGGGCATGGCCAACTTGATGTCACTCACTCCCACCCAGTCACTTAACCCCCCCATTTCAAATTATAAAATTTCTTCTATTAAAGCTATCCTGTTATAGATTTAATAGTATTTTTAGCATCATTGTATTGAAACAATTGATTTAAGCTTCAAACAAGATGGATTCTTTGATAGACTGCTGTAGAATTTCCTGCAATCCTAAATCCATTATTTTGTCAATGATTTTAAATATCTCAGGTTTTGGGACTGCACACTTCCATTGCCATGCTTCGCAGATGAGATGAGATTCTTTTGCTTCAGTGCAGTGTTATTTTCTGCAATTTTAACATTTCTTATCAGTAACAGAAAGTTACACTTTCATCTTGTCTTGTCATTTTTAGCAGATCCTTTGTTATTGTATTTGGGTTCTTTTCAACCTCCTACAGTGTTGTATAACTTATTGTTGAGGTGACACTTGGACAATCATTGCTGGGGAGTATACTGTCTTCTTGACCATGGATTGATGATGGCCAAAATCTTTGTGAACAGTTTTATTTCTTTCCAGTTTCATGAACTTCCACTCTTCTTGTTCTTAAAGCTATAAAAATCTATCTTTAATCTGGATATAACTCACTTCCAAGAACTGTATTAGAACCCAATAGAGGTAAACTTTCTGTGTATGTTTTATTGGGGGGGAGGACTCCTAAAACTCAGGTGCATATGTCTCCTGAGAGATTGGGACATCCGTCTCAACTAAAGGAGCTGATTAATGTCTTCACATAACATTTTCTAACAAAGCAGTGACTGTTGGCTCAATATGTTCAATGAAGACATGACATATTACACTGTTTCATGTTTTAACCAGAAGTTATTTTTCTTTAGTAAAACTGAGATGAAGTCCAAATTGCACTCAAAGTCACAGGACTCTAGGATTATAGATAGTTCTTGAGGATGTACACATTTTCTTTTACCAATTTAAAAGGAATTTGTCAAATAGCATTTATTAAATGTGTAACTTGCCTTTCCACCAACTGATGGCCATAAATAAAATGTAATGAAAATCAATTAATTAGTCCTCAACTTGCAACCGTTCATTCAGCAACCTTTCAATTATAGCAGTATTGAATGAGTGCCCAAAGTTATGGCAGGTTGCAGTGGCTCTGCAGTGATTACAATTTGGGCACTTGGCAGCCTGCTTACACTTATAACCACAGAGGTGTTTGAACTCCCACCCACTATGGTCCTTTGGCCTCTTGCATTCCCTGGCCCCTGGTGCCTACCTGACATTCACCATGTTTTTACTTCTGTTGCTGATCAAGCACACTCAGTCTGGCCCTTCACAAAGAAGCTACTGGCAGCGTGAGGCTTTCTTCCCAAAGTCGCCTATGGTGGTTTCCTCACGAGACTCGGGGAGATGGACTCAAGGGGCCAGTAGCTGCTTCACAAAGGGCCTGGGTAGGTTGTCAGCAGCAGAAGCAAGAAGACAGCAAAGGTCAGCTGAAGTGACAGAGCACAGTGTGGCAGGAGCCTTGGAGTTTAGGATGATAACTACAGCTGGAGTAGTTGAGCTTTCCTGGGAGCTGCCGGTTTGCACGATACTATTGAGGCACCACACTGCTAGGGCAGCTGCAGCTCTGTGCTATAGCTCAGAGGCTTCTTACAGGCCCAGAACTACAGCATGCCAAGAAGCCCTTGAGCTGCAGTGTGGCAAGTAGCCCCAGAGTTGTGTGATTCTAGGGCTACTTGCCACAGCACCCAGGGAAGGGCAGGAGACAGGGCAGTCAAACTAAGGCATAAGACATAGCTTGAACTAACGTCTGATATATTAGTAATTTGGTACATAATTAAGTATAATACACATAATTTGGACCAGTCTTGCCCTATGTAAGTGGAAGAATAATAGTGGCTGCCCATTAAAGTCACCAAGAGTGGTTATACTGTCAAAATCCAAGAGGGCAAATACAAGATGAATCTGCAGCAAAGCAGTGGTATCAATCAAACAAGTCTACAAGAGAATGGATGGAGAACAAATTTAATATTTTAGGCTGACCCAAGTAGATATCTAGACTTAGTCCCATAAAGATTTCATGACAGAACCTAAAGCTAGCAGGTCTTGCTAGAAAATACATTACCTTGGTAGGATGTTCTCAAACGGGTCCACCAACCCCCAGGCTGCAGCCCACTACCAGGCCGTAGCCTGTTTGGAATCAGGCTGCACAAGTGGGTGGCTAGTGCATGTGCGTGCATCTCGATTTGCGTGAACAGTGGGCTGGCACACACATGCACAGCTTGACTTGCACAAGCAATGGGCTGGTGCATACGTGTGTGTGCCAGCCTACCACTTGCATGGGCCAGTTCCCCTCCCCGCTCACCATGCCACCAAGCCATGAAGGCTGGTCGAAAATTCATATATGGAGTAGTGAAAGACTGATCACTAGTTACAGGTAACATACGGTTTTAGTTATTAAAGATTAATGTATGTAACCAGTTACTCAATCTAAGAGGGTGATTACCTGTGCGTGCGTGCACGTTGTGTGTCTGTGTCACATGGTGTTCCTATTTGTCTTCATATTGTGCTACAGTTTGTGGACTGATAACATCCATTGTACTTCCATTATACTCACAATATGAATTTAAAAGTAAAGGATATTTTGATGTTAGGAAGATGTATTTAAACAACCTGTTCTCTAGGCCCGAGTTGAACGGATGGAACAGTTCCACAAGGAGAAAGAGGAAATAGACAAAGGATCCCGGGATTGCAAACGCAAGTTATCTGAGTGCCAGAAGAAGATAAAAGAACTTGAGTTGGGCAACGTAGAGAGCAGCAAAAATGAGCTGCAGAGGTTACAGGCTGAGGCACAGCAATTCAAGAAAGAAGAAAAGAGCTGGGACAATAAGATGGAAGAACTCAGGAAGAAGGAAAAGAATATGCCCTGGAATGTTGACACTCTTAGCAAAGATGGCTTCAGTAAGGTGGGTCTTCTTGGTTAGGTTCTTTTTCTGCCTTGCTTCTGAACCTTAAAATGGAATGGAGAGGACTTGTAAGTAAAGCTATATGGATCATACAGCCGTACTACTGTCTGTGTTTGATAATAGTGAGATAAGGACTGCCCAATGTCCACATTCACTAAAACCTGAGATATATCCAATGGGTAATTTCAAAAGTAAGTGCACAATTAAAGCAACCGTGGTAGTATTTTATGGAGAATGAATGTAGCCATTTTATAAAAAAAAGTTCTCCAACAAAAGATATAGATCAAATGGAAGGACTTTGAAAAAAAGTTTGCTGAAATTCTTTGGGATTAGTGGGCAGAAGTTCATTTTTTTCTGGTTACAAATTCATTTGTTTTCAACAAACACAGTGTATTGTAATTTGACAGAAACAAAAATGAGCCGTAGAATGAATAGCTGAAGAAGCCTCGAGGTTTTCCAAAGGAAAGTTGGCTCTAAGACTAACAAATCAATAACATGGATTACAGTTGGGAATATTCATATTACTTGGCAACAGTTTGATTAGGGTAGCAATAGGGTGTAAGGTTAGTCATTTGCTAAATACTTTATAGGATTGATTTAACTTCCTTGAGAAAACTGATTTAATTGTTCCTAAAACTTCTGAACTGTTTCAGCTCTTCATTCTTTTGCTATTGCATTACTATTTGCCTTAGGTTGTTTTGGAAATAATTTAATATTATTGAGACACTGTGAGGGTTTGTCAACAGTGAGAGAACATTACTGTGCAGGAATGGGAAATGTCATTTATTGCTGACTTTCAGGGCTGATATTTAAGTGCTGAAGGGAAGGGATATTGAAGTTGAACAATACCTAAAGGATCACATGCTTCCCAGTTACGCAGTTGTGTCATTAACATGACTTCCTTTGTTATTGTAGAGTGTCTTTAATGTCAAAACTGAACAAGATGAGGAATCTGAAGAACAAAAAGAGAAGAAGCACAAAACATTTGTGGAAAAATATGAGAAACAAATCAAGCACTTCGGTAAATCCAAAATTAGCTTTTCCAAAAATATATTTGGATTGTGATCTATAGGAATGTGTGTGAAAGCAATACACATTTTTATGGAAAAACACACATTTTGCAGAAAGGGTTTTGCAAATTAGGCAACCTAAATATATTCAGATTGTATTGAACAATTAAAGGGAGTAAACTGAATCAGAAATTCCAGTCAGGGAGATGACATCTACCATTAAAAGCAAAATACAATCAAAACATGTTAATAACCACTGTAAGATTTGGTTGTACATGACTTAGGCTTATGCCAAGATTAAAAGAGAATTATCTTATTCTTAGGAAAAATATTACTGAAGCTCATGATGCTGGAAAGGGCTCCAAAACCTATGCCAGAAACTTTTGCCTTCATCAGTCCACAGTCAGGCACATAGTGTAAAAATGAGAAAATATAACATCATTGTTACTTACTGGGACATACGAGGCACTTAAATCCACTCAGCAATATTGTGAGCAGCTTACATTCCCTTCTACAGTGTAATAAAATGAAATAATACTATAAAATAACAAAAATGCTCTTTAAATGGTGTTATTGTTTCTTTGATTTTTCTATTTATATGGTATTCGTTTCTGCTTATTTAGTTGCTGGTAAATAGATAAGTAAATAAGAATGTGCTTAGGGCTATTTGACCTCTGCTTGCTATTGCAAACAGCCCTAAGTGCACTCTTCCCCATCTAGCTTAGAGAACACCAAGAACCGTATAAGCTACACATATTCTCTCCACTATTGCATGTCAGATTTTTCCCAGCTCTGGCTGGGAAAATAGTTCTCTTTATAAGATGTGGAAAGAATTTGATTTGACATTGCTATTTTTCTGTTCTAAAGGAATGTTGCGGCATTGGGATGATAGTCAGAAATACCTATCTGATAATCCACATCTTGTTTGTGAAGAGACAGCCAATTATTTAGTCATCTGGTGCATTGATCTGGAAGTAGAAGAGGTGAGCATGAAGCCTGTGGAACTTGTCCAGGAATTTTGGATGATAATGATAGGCTTTGTCTATCAAACTTGACAAACAGATCTGGGTCACTGAAGTGTATGAAAGGCAATATGTTCTTCTAATGTGAGAGGATTCTTTCTGGGCACCAAATAATTTTTATGTAGTGGCTACAAAATTCTTCAAAATTACTTTGTTATACAAATCAATAGCTTTTATGACTTACTGTTTCAAAATACATTAAGGAAGAAATACTGAAAATCTTGGTTACTGCAAGGCAAGCTTTTAACAACCTTGCCCTAATCTGTTCCTTAACTTGTGTCCAAATAGCACACTTAATATTATTTGGATACCAATAATTGCCAGCATTCCGTTTTCTGGAATCTGCAACTATTGTTTATAGTTGCCTAATAAATGGTTAGTGTACTGTACATTAAACATCTGTTTCTGCTTCACAAGATGAGCTTCCCCTGGCAGTAGAATTATTTCAATTTACAGTTTGTGTCTGGTAGTATGGTAGTTGAACCTTGATGAGTCATTTGTTGTTACCTGGCAGCCAGATTACATGCCCAAAAGAAAATGTTTGCTTCAGATATGTTCTCATTGATTTGTTGAAGTTACAAACTGACATATGAAAATAGTCAAGTGCTAAAAATTAGAAGGAAACATAACCAAGGAGACAATATGCCAGGAGTTTGATAATCAAAAAGTTTGGGTTGCCTGGAGTCTAAAAGCAGAGAGATTTGAATATTTTGTTGTAGTTATAATGTTTTATTCTAAATGGAGTGAAATCCAGTGCTATCTTCCATGTGGATGACACAATTCCCTTTCCATTCCTACACATGGAGTCAAAATTTACTCTGGAAGGTTGGACCTTTTGGAACAGATTTTAGGTGCTGATAATGCAGGAGGCTGCAGTTGCATTGTAAGAATGGATTTTACCTGATTTCTTAGAGCAATGAATAAGAAGAGAAAACATTAAAAATTCAAAACCATGAACATTTCAGGGAAAATTTATTTAAAAACTGAATAGAGTTAAAATGTGTTCAACATCAGCATCAGTGTGAAGATAAGGCCAGTACTGATTGCTTTGAACTGTTTTTCTGTGATCATATTCCTAACAATTTTAGTCATAACATATAATGTAAATACGCTTATATGCTAGGCTGATAAAAATCTGATTTTTAAGTATATACAGGTGAAACTTGAAAAATTAGAATATCGTGCAAAAGTTCATTTATTTCAGTAATGCAACTTAAAAGGTGAACCTAATATATGAGATAGATTCATTAAATGCAAAGCAAGCCGTGATGTGTCATAATTGAGATGATTATGGCTTACAGCTCATGAAAACCCCAAATCCACAATCTCAGAAAATCAGAATATTCTGAAAAGGTTCAATATTCTAGGCTCAAAGTATCCCACTCTAATCAGCTAATTAAGCCATAACACCTGCAAAGGGTTCCTGAGCCTTTAAATGGTCTCTCAGTCTGGTTCAGTAGGAATCACAATCATGGGAAAGACTGCTGACCTGACAGTTGTGCAGAAAACCATCATTGACACCTTCCATAAGGAGGGAAAGCCTCAAAAGGTAATTGCAAACGAAGTTGGATGTTCCCAAAGTGCTGTATCAAAGCACATTAATAGAAAGTTATATGGAAGTGAAAAGTGTGGAAGAAAAAGGTGCACAAGCAGCAGGGATGACTGCAGCCTGGAGAGGATTGTCAGGAAAAGGCCATTCAAACGTGTTGGGGACTTTCACAAGGAGTGGACTGAGGCTGGAGTCAGTGCATCAAGAGCCACCACACACAGATGGATCCTGGACATGGGCTTCAAATGTCGTATTCCTCTTGTCAAGCCGCTCCTGAACAACAAACAATGTCAGAATCATCTTACCTGGGCTAAAGAAAAACAGAATTGGTCTGTTGCTCAGTGGTCCAAAGTCCTCTTTTCTGATGAGAGCAACTTTTGCATCTCATTTGGAAACCAAGGACCCAGAGTCTGGAGGAAGAATGGAGAGGCACACGCTGCAAGATGCTTGAAGTCCAGTGTGAAGTTTCCACAGTCTGTGTTGATTTGGGGAGCCATGTCATCTGCTGGTGTTGGTCCACTATGCTTCATTAAGTCCAGGGTCAATGCAGCCGTTTACCAGGAGATTTTGGAGGACTTCATGCTTCCTTCCGCAGATGAGGTTTATGGGGATGCTGACTTCATTTTCCAGCAGGATTTGGCACCTGCCCACACTGCCAAAAGCACCAAAACCTGGGTCAATGACTGTGGGATTACTGTGCTTGATTGGCCAGCAAACTCACCTGACCTGAACCCCATAGAGAATCTATGGGGCATTGCCAAGAGAAAGATGAGAGACATGAGGCCGAACAATGCAGAAGAGCTGAAGGCCGCTATTGAAGCATCCTGGTCTTCCATAACACCTCAGCAGTGCCACAGGCTGATAGCTTCCATGCCACACCGCATTGAGACAGGAATTGCTGCAAAAGGGGCCCAAACCAAGTACTGAGTACATATGCATGCTTATACTTTTCAGAGGTCCGATATTGTTCTATGTACAATCCTTGTTTTATTGATTGCATGTAATATTCTAATTTTCTGAGATTGTGGATTTGGGGTTTTCATGAGCTGTAAGCCATAATCATCACAATTATGACAAATCATGGCTTGTGCTATCTTGCTTTGCATGTAATGAGTCTATCTCATATATTAGTTTCACCTTTTAAGTTGCATTACTGAAATAAATGAACTTTTGCACAATATTCTAATTTTTCGAGTTTCACCTGTAGATGCTTTTAAATACCAGGTTTGCAATCTGGGAGTTTTCCTGGAGGTAGGATTATTAATCAGATGTTTAACAGATCCTTTGCCCAACTGCAACTGGTGTGCCAGTAGTTTTATATCTAAATAAAATAAGATGAGAAACAAAAATCTTTCCTTTTTCTGAAGTCAGTTCTGTGATTGGATGTCCTTCTAAAAATCATAGAATGCCACCTACAACTATTTTTGTTACACTTGTACATCTTATAAGCTGCTTAGAACAACTCATTTGGGGAAAATATATAAATATACATTTGTTCTGAACCATTAAAGCTGAAATACATATTTGTTATTTTTCTCAGAAACATGCCCTGATGCAACAGGTAGCCCATCAGACCATAGTGATGCAGTTCATTCTAGAGCTGGCTAAGAGCCTGAAGGTTGACCCTAGAGCTTGTTTCAGACAATTTTTTGCTAAAATCAAGGTGAGTTTTATGCAGGTGAGAGAAAGCATACTGTCATAAATGCAAAGGGGATAAAGAAAAACTAAGCATCTTTTCTTTCATAGCAAAACCTTGCTCACAGGAAGTATTTTGATTATGGAAGTCCAAAAGTCTAACTGTTTGATATGTGCAGTTTTGCTGGATAAATCACCTGTTCGTTTCTAATCACCATTCAGACAGCTGACCAGCAGTATATGGAAGGTTTTAATGATGAACTGGAATCCTTCAAGGTTCGAGTGCAGGAGCGGGCTAAGACTCGCATTGAAAGAGCTATGAAAGAATATGAAGAAGAAGAGCGGCAGAAACGGCTGGGGCCAGGGGGCCTTGATCCAGTAGATGTGTACGAATCTCTCCCACAAGTGAGTTATGAAAGGAGGCTAGTGCCTCTTTTCAGAATTACATGATCCTTATGTTTCACCATGTGTTCATATCTGCATATTTGAGTAGCTAACAAATACAAAATGTTTAGAAAAAATTGCTTTATCTTTTGCTTTCTGCCTTAGTTGCTGTGATGTGAAAAAAATTTTTTGTGTGTGTTGCAGTTTCAAAACTGGTTTTCATTTACTCATGTGTTTGGTGCAAAGTTAGCTCCATGTAATTGTTACAATTGGGTATTTTTTTGTGACGCACTCTTCCTCATTTTGAAATGAAACTAAAATAGTGATTACAAGTGCACAACATACAATAAAAGCAAAAATAGTACAGAAATAGATTTAAAACAATATGAAGATAAATATCCTGAGAAAATGAAAATATGTTTGCCTGATACATGAAACTAAATAAAAAGGCCCTCCCAGCTCAATGGGAGGAACATTCCACTGAATAGGTCCATTCTCTGGTAGCCCTTACTGCACTCCACTAGAAGAGGGTACCTGAAACAGGATTTCTAGGGACGAATTTAGAGTATTAGCAAAAGCACAAAAGAAAAAAAATATTCTTTAGATACTATTGTCTCATCAAGAGTGGAAATGAGTATATCATATTGACTTAGGATTGGAAATGTTTTTCCTTCAAAAGCAATACAAGCCACATGTGTAAAAAATTCCACACATTTAAAATATTCAACCAAAACCCATAAAAATAATCCAATCCTACGTATTGCCTGTAATGCCCAAAGGCTAATTTATCCCCAAAATATTCAGATAGAGAAAAATATTCAACAGAACATATGTGATTTGAATTGTTAACTAAATTTTAACAGACTTGAGAATCCTTGTTGAAGAATGTCATAATTGTTGCCACTCACCTGTAAGAAGACACCCACAGAAAATTCTAGGCTGGCTAATATTGCAGGCTCTTAATTTAAAATACCTTTTCTATGTTTAAAGATTTATATGGCTTCCCAACTCATAAAACTGCAACTCTGGGCAGCATACAACCATACAACCAAAACATTTTCCCAATAAAACCTTAGCAAGAACAAAAGGTACATTTGGGCAACCAATATCTAACCTATTACTAATCTTAGCCCCGATGCTTAAGGGAAGATCCAGAGGTTTAAAAAGTTTTTGAAGGTTATTTTACATTTTAACAACAAACATGACAATAATTTCATATTGGTACTATTTGCTTATCTAGTTTGATATAAATACATATTATCAATCTTTAACATTCAATATTCCCATATATTATTTTATGTCAATCTCTATATTCTTAACATCACTTCTTTTGTTAAAACTATTATATTGTCATATTTGCAATGTTTAACAAATTTATAATATAGTTCAGCTAATAATTCATAGATTCATGTTAATTTATACCCATTATTTATCCCCCTTTTTAGTTTTAAATTATGCCATCTTTATGTTTTTTAAAACAAAGTCCCTTTCTAATCTCATTACAATATACACGTCATAATTTCCATTCTATTTTCATTTAACAAATTGTACAATTCTAATAATTATATAATCACTTTTATCTGTTATCATATACTATATTTCTGTCTATTGGATTCCACATGTCACTTCTTTCCCTACCATACAATGTTGACTTTATGCATATTACATTTATCAGTTATATAACTTAGATAATGATCCTATAATAAGATCTTAGTTTCATATTTCTTGCAATTACCATATTAAATCTTTGTTTATTACAATTAATAATTTGATAGTATTACTATCATTACTCTTTGTTAGTAATCCTATAATAAAATATTAAATTTAATGTTTATTAGAATTAACACTTCTATATCTTAAATTGTAGTACACCCATTCATGTGGAATCTTTATCTTTCCCCTCTTCAGCCATCGTCTCTAACTCTCAATAAAGCATTAATTAATCTCTTCTTAGCTTGTCTTCCATTTTCAATCATTTTTTGACCCTTCCTCTTAATCATTTCTCTTTTATCTATTATATTCAACTGTCTCTTTCCAGTTATCTAACTCTACCCTCTCAAAATGTTCTCTCTGAAGTTCCCTTCCCTGTTGCTTTCCCCCTATGCTATCCCCTTGGTTTATTACATCAATCATTATTAGCATTTTAAATTTTATTTCCTTTTTATCCTTTCGTTTTATTTGTTGTTCCTTCTGTTCCATTTTGCTGGCTTCTCTTCTAGTTAACCCCCTCTCCTTCTATGTCTCTTGTTTTCATTCTGTGATTTGTGTCTCCATTTTCTTCCATGTTTTGTATTTGTTCAAAATGTCCTCAATCTTCTGCTCATCATATCTATTGTATTCTGTAGTTCCAGGACCAATTCTCTGCATATTTTACTCATTTTTATTTTTGTTTGTTCAATTTCTTATATCCAATCTTATATCTTATTATTTCTTATATCCCAGTCTTTATTTAAACCAGTGTCACTTTCCAAACTATAAGTCCAATATTAAAAAGTCTTTATATCCCAGATTTAATCCATCTGATTCTTTTCAACATTCCAAGGGAATATCTTCATATATTCCTTCACCAATTTAAATTTGATGTTTAGCTTTCTCTTATCAATACAATTATTTTAATTCTTTCTTTTATTAGATCTTTTAGTTTAATTAGATTGTTTCAAAACTTTAGGGATCTGCAGGATTTTTCTTCAACAGCAGGTGGCACTCTTAAATCAGTTTCCATTTTCCACCTTTTTTTCCTTTTCTTTAGACTTTTGCCAAGTTTGTCAGTATTTCCAAAAGTTAGTTATATATTCTTTTTTTTAATCAATCGATTACAGCATTTTAAATAATGCCTATCCCATGCCAAATCCTGTATGATCACCAATTCCAATTTTCACATATTCTTTTAAAAAGCTTTCTTCTGTTGTCCTCCCGTCTTTTTTTTTTAATTGAGTTCTTTATATTCTATTCATTCTTCTCTCATAATAGATCGCTGCTAATGCCCAGAAGTCCTTGTGAGCTCTCTTTCCTGGTATATTTATCGGGGTTTCCTTTAGCAATTCAGAAATATTTTCACCCAGTTCTCACACCATTCACCGTCTCTTCACTCCTGCACAGTCTTAGGTTTTCAGACTGTCCCCGTCTTCATGGCAGCCATTTTGGTTGCCACTGCAGCTCGTCTTTGGATGAGGGGGCTTTCCATGTCAGGGAGGAGAGATGCATCTCTCCTCTACCTGAAAGGTCCCCCTTTCTTCACCACTCCTCCATGGTGGCTCCGGCCCTGATTGGGGCCCTCCAACGAGTTGAGCTTGGAGCAAAAGCACGGTGGTTGCGGACCTCGCTCCAACAATGAAATCCAGCTGGAACAATCAGGAAATAAATAACCTGGAACAATACTGTTCATGCAATGATGTGTTTGTAGAAATAAAAAATAAAAAACGTATTAAAAAAGAAAGCTTTTGAAATGCAAAATGTCAAAGTTTTATTTTGTCTGCTCATTCAAGACAAATACAGGCTCTTGGGTGAGAAATAAAAACGAATGGGTGGTTCGCCAGTAAAAGGTAGTCAATAATATCTGGATCTCTGCCCCCTGCCGTGGTTTTCTTCTGATCTGTTCTTAATATTCTAACCCTTGTAGCTATTTTATAGTGTACTACTAAGCTTATGTTTACCTATGGCTTCCTTCTTGTTTCTATGCTGTCTACCACCGCTGGGTATACTCTTGTATCCTTACCTTGTGTGTCAGTTGGACGAAGACAGCATAGATGTACAGTACAAGGAAAAACAAAGTCCAGTTGCCTTTTGAAAAAACACCTTTGGGACAAACGACGTGGAAAGAATTAGTAATAACAACTTTTTATCCCACCTACTTGACAGAGGGAATAGAGCTGGCTTATTTTAAAGGAGTAGAAAGAAGGAGAAAATGGTCAGAATGCCATGTGTTTTCCTGAAGCTACTGAAATAATTTTTTGCTTGGCTCAATTTGCAGGGGTGTATGATAAAATTAAGGCCAGAAATTGTCTACTAGAAACAATAGGAGTTATCTAAAGGTCCATATAGACATAATAGTAGCTACATATAAATCAAAGAACGGATTCTGAAAGTGAATATACTAATTTACAAGAATAGAAATGACATCTCAATAGCAGTAACTGTGAGAGGATCTGTGAGGGGCTGCCACAGAGAGGAAGGGGTCAAGCTATTTTCTAAAGCACCTGTAGGCCAGACAAGGAATAATGGATGGAAACTGAACAAGGAGAGATTTAACCTGGAAAATAAGGAGAAACTTTCTGACAGTGAGAACAATCAACCAATGGAACAGCTTGCCCTCGGAAGTTGTGGGAGCGTCATCACTTGAGACCTTCAAGAAGAGATTGGACTGCCATTTGTCAGAAATGGTGTAGGGTCTCCCGCTTGGGCGGGGTGGGGGGTTGGATTAGATGACCTATAAGGTCCCTTCCAACTCTGATTATTTGTTATCTTTGTACATTTTTTGAACTGAGATTAGAATTTATGATATTTATGACTATAAATTTATAATAATATAAAGTGAATTATGTATTAACACAAGAAGATCATCTTAATTTATTTACCTTTTTTGCCAAGCCAGTTCTAAAAAGAGCCATTGACTAATAATTATGCTAGTGATGTTTTGTATTTGGAACATTTACATTATTATGTAAACATTTTATGTCTCTCCTTTTCCATGTAAGGTGTAGGTTAATGCTGAACCTAAATTTGATTTTGGGTTCAAAGGACTAGGTGATCCTGATGTCCTGTTCTTTTGAATATAATTTTCCCTGATAATGTTATTTCATTGCAACAGATTATGCTGGGTTTTTTTTTTGTTCTTCCCAGTTATAGAAGTAATTCAGTGTGTATCACAGCAACTCCCAAGTTCTTGATTAGAAGTCTTTCCTAGCTTTCATATCTGGAGATATTTTTAACTAGCTGAGCTTTTCCTCTTTCTCTCCTGAATTTTTGAAAGGACTTTTCTTCTGTAAAACATTAAATACAAAAATACCAAACTGGAAAATGTTCTTTCCTTATAATTGCATTTTCTCATGCCTTAGAGAAAACTGCTTTATTGTCTTGAATGTTTAATAGAATGATGAAAATGTATTGTGTATTTATGTAGATTCTTTCCTTTGTTTGCTACCATTTCTTTCTATTTTTTTTGGCCAGGAACTTCAGAAATGCTTTGATGTGAAAGATGTGCAGATGCTTCAGGATTCTATCAGCAAAATGGATCCTACTGTGAGTATCCTTGGAATTGCTTTAAGAGTTAGGTTCCAGATTTCCTCCATGCTGCAAAATATTATTTCCAGATAACTTCCAAGAAATATTAGTTTCTCTTTTTATATATTTGCATATCTATGTGCACTCTCTTGTCTGACCAGTTGCTTGAAGATAATTAGACACAATGTGATCATTATTTAACTCTCCGGGTGCCTCATAAATTTGAAAAGCCTTGATTATCTTCACTCTTAATTTCTGATATGTATCGATGCAAATTAAATGCTGTATTTAATGGGACCCAATAATGTAAGGAGTAGTTTTTATTCTGGTTAAGCTTTTTTGGCAGAGAGCAACCTCAGTTCCACTTGGGTAGATGGGATATTGACTGTAGCTCCAGGTTTTTGTTCATTAGTACACAATTTATTGATTTAGAATTTTCCATAGCTCTATGTCGAGACACAGTACTTAATTCATAATATAGCCGAACTTTATGAGCTGGACCAGTATGTTTACTGAAATCAGAAAACTGCTAATTTTGGCACTATTGCTTGTGTACCTTCATAATTATTTTTCTCTTTGAGTTTATATATGCTATCTTCAAAAGATACTACCATTGAGTATTTTTTCTCAAGTATTTTTCTAAACTTTAGATTCTACAGTAATTTTTGGAAGCAAAAGGAGCCCCCTATGAGTTAGAGTTGTAGAGATATTTAAGGTGCAAGATATAGCCCTTCAGCAATATATATTTTGTATCTTTTACAGGAAGCAAAATACCATATGCAGCGGTGTATTGATTCTGGCCTGTGGGTACCAAATGCACAATCAGCAGAAGGAGCGGTAAAGGGTGACAAGTTTGAAGGTGTCTATGAGGAAGTTAAGAAGGAGAGCTCTGAGGAAGAAAAAGGAAATCCCTGAAGCCTTGGCCGTATGTCTGTAAAGCAGATTGTTGCCCCATTATCTTCTGCCCATCCTTTCACATCAACCTGTTCAACGATGATGTGTTCTACATATTTAGACACTGAAATTGTATGAGCTGCTTCTTGACTGGCTCGCTTGCTCATCCTGTGAACACAGTTCCCAACTTGTACAGCTTTGTTATCTTATTGGAAGCCAAGATTTGAAGGGAGTCCACGCACCATCATGCAGGCTCAGAGTGGCTTGGCATAGCAGTTCCAGCTTCTGTCTTGCTGTGATGACACAAGTCAGCGTCCTAGTTACAAGTGTGCTATTCATATCTATCTTTTTGTTTGACAACCAGTGAAAGCTACCGAGCAAATAAAAAGGTTGAAATAGCTGAGATTGATATGGTGTCAGTGGCCATTGTATTTATTTCACATGGATTCAAATTATTCAGTTGGTTTAGTTCCATTTCAAATTGTTTGAAAAGACACTGGAATGGGTGTGGTGTGTGACGTCCAAGATATAACCCTTAGCATCTGAGATTTTCTTGACAGCTTTGGAAAATGTCTTGAAACCCTGTAAATGTAGGTAAACATTGGATGGACTGTCCTGGGTTGAATGGGGGCAATGAACAACCAATCAAGGCAACATCTTGGATGTTTTGAGCTGTAACCACTATACATATCTTTGATGTTTAGCTTGAAATGATCTAGCAGACTAACTGCTTCATAGTTCTGGGTGTCTGCTGTACTTTGCCTTGACTTACAGGAATTCCCCAGTTAAGCCTGTCTGAAAGGGAAGTTTCTTTTAGCTTATCTTTTTACTTTTAATCTGCTCTTATAAAAATATTGAAGTGCTACTAGTGTATTTCTTATTGCACCATAACCTTGAAGTAAAAAACTATGAGACTGCTTGCTTTTTCCCAAAATCCAACTATTCCTGGAGTTGTAGTTTCATGTGATTGTGTTCTATTTGCATATTCCCAACTTTATATGATCACTGATACAGAACAATTGAACAGTTAGCTAAACCACAGTCGTTGAAAAGAATTACAGATTTGCCTAAAGATGAAAAATTTTGGTTAGCATTTTATAAATGAAATGGGACAACTCAGCACAGCCAGCTCACTATTACTAGATCACCACCATGTTGCCTCTGCCAACTCTCTGCCACCAAATTGCCACAGGATAATGCCACACAGCCAACTTGCTCTGGAGACAACTCACTACGGGTGACTGGAAGGAGAGCCAGGCAAGCGGGCAACAGCTCTGGGAGCTCAGTGCAACGAAGGATGTGAAAATGGGACCTCCCCGGCCGCTGCCGCCTCCCTGCCCTTCCCACCACCACTGAATGGCCTACCTACCAACATATGGCCTGTGGCGGATGTGAAAATGGGACACTTCCAGCTGTCACCTCCCCCACCCACCACCAAACAGCTGAATTCTGAATAGCCCAGAGCTCGGCGCAACAGCAGTAGGGAAATGTTAAATTAGGAAGCCTCTGACTGCTCAGCACTTTGTCCATTTGCTCGCCTGCCCGACTCTCCCTTTAGCAGCCCACAGTGAATTGTACCCGCGGCAAATTGGCCATGTACAGTTGTCTGGCCACTTGGTGAGTTGGCAGAGGCAAATTGATAGTAGTGAGTTGGTGGCGGAAAGCTGGCCAGGCAAAGCTGGCTGCATTGTGTTGTCCTAGACCAGGGGTCTTCAAACATGACAGCTTTAAGACTTGTGGACTTCAACTCCCAGAATTCCTCCTCCAGTCATGTTAGCTCATTCTGGGAGTTGCAGTCCACAAGTCTTAAACTTGCCAAGTTTGAACACCCTTGTCCTAGACCCTTTACAAAATCTTTTGTAAAGAAATTCCTGCTGCCTTCACACACAAGGAACTGGCTTTCATTCACTATGTACTTTAGACCAAGGATCCTCAACCTGTGGACCACAGATCACTACCAGTCTGCGGACTATTCGTAACCGGGCCGCATGAGTGGCCAGCTGGTGCATGCACAGCCCCACTCACATGAACATTGCTGGTGGCTGGCTTCATTTGGGCGAGCAACAGGTGCTTGCACATGCCTGCCCCACCCACAAAACCATCCCCTTTCCCCCCTTGCCCCCACTTCCTGCCACCAACCCAGAAAAATTGGGGAGCTCTGCTTTAGACCATTCAACAGTATGCAGACCTGTCAATGAAGAATTTGTAAGTTTTATTCCTGGACTCTATGTAATCACATTGATTTGAAAGTTTTATTTTAATTTTTAAACGCAAATTGCCAATCACAATCACACTTCAGCTCAGAACATTAAAATTTACTGAAATTACACAAATGTAACATTTTCTGAAAGTATTACAGCAAAATTCAGAACTCTCTGATAGAGTTCAGCCAAGACAGGTCTGAGGGATTGTGAGGTGTGTGTTTCAACTTAATGCCCTGAGATGCCCTAGTATATGCTCATAGAGGGAAGAACAGGCAAAGGGTCAATAGGCAGAAAGTGAAAAAAGTCTGGGAGAACTGCCTCCAAGGGGGCTGGTTATAGGATCTTATACCAAACCAACCCTTCGTGCATTTGCTTGGAGAGTAGATTTTGAGCATGTGCAGACATAGCAGTAATTTCCTCTCCTAGTTTGATTTTTATCAAAGAATTAGTCAAGGGCAGGTTTAAAAAAAAACAACCAAACTGATCTCAAGCTCAGTTAATAAGTCTGCTTATCTTATTTGCCTCTTTCATTTTCTTTTTTAAATTGAGCAAACCTCTTGAGTAGTTAAAATGGTAGCAAAGAAAAAAGCCTTTTAATAAGACTGCTGTGCAGTGTGCTCAGTGATTGTTAACCAATCTGTCAATCAATGTCAACCAGTCAGTTCTTTAATAGCTGAAGGCTTGAAACTGGATCTTCCTTGATTGAATTTGTTAACCAGTAAACTATTGTCACTCAAACTACCTAGATATATATAATATATATCTAAGAAAGACATATAGAAATAATATATAGAATGACAATAATTTACTGGTTAATGTATTCAATCAAGGAAGATCCAGTTTCAAGTT